TTAGTTTACCTAAAATTTACAAAGTCAATCAATAACTTTCATATTTTTGGTCATGACAACCTTAGTTAATTAAATATTGGAATTTAACAATCATTTAAATTTAAATAAATTTTTTTAACATAATAATAAATATTGAAATTTTAATAAATTTATTAATCAATGAAATTTTAAAAGTGATTATTCTAGACAACCATAAACATTAATGTAGGCCGAACGTATTCCACACTTGGTGGTTGGCCACTTTTTTCTAAATGAGAGAAAACATTTTTTCTTTCCTTTAAAAAACTTTAGTTTTTTTTTTGTTTTCTTTGTCATTTTATGAAAGATCGTCTTCACAAAGTAAACTAAGAAAAATAAGTGGGGACATTCAATTTTGAGGCGACCATTCACAAGCAAGTTGTGTACTGAAATAATCACGCCAATGTTTCCAATGTGAAAGCAATGATTTAGTGAACAAATAATAAATTTTTTGGCTGATTTTTTTAGCTCCCAAGATCAATTAATATTTTGTGAGCGAGTAAGTAAAGCTCATATTAGTAATTTAGTGGGTCTTGTGGGATTGAGTGCAAAGGATAAGACATTTTGATAAAGATTCAGCTTTGTCTATTGATTTCTTCTTGATTGGTTATTTGTTTGAGTTTCTAGGGTTCTATTTTTTTAGTTTTGGTTCATCACTTTTTTTTTTTTTTTGGGTTACAAACAACGTTTTTATACTAAGATACAAGAACAATAAAACACTAACAACTGGCATATATGACACATTCTACTATATTGACATAAATTCAACTCAAGTTTACAAAGAGGGTAACATGACATAATACCGACTGTAGAATTGATACAATACATTGACATCAACAGTTTCTAATGTTAAAGCAATGATTTAGTGCAAATATAAGTCTGTTAAAATGGTTGAAGATGAAGTCAATCAATTACTAGTATGAATATCAAATTATGATAGCCAAAAATTAGTAAAAGAAAAAGTAGTGTGAACTCAAGATTCAAGTATCATGAAATTATTCATCTAACAGGAAACATGCATTCCATATGAGCTTCTAAAACTCAGTCAACCAACCTTTTAAGCATTGGAAACATGTTTTAGGAAGGATTGTGAACTGCAAAAATGAAAAATTAATGTTGCATGATTAAAGTCCTTTGATTATGAGTTGGACTAGATTTAGATTAACCCATGTTGAGGACTAGGCTGTCATTCTCCTGGTAAATACACACATGCAGGGCATTAATTACTTGACATTAAACGCTAAACTTATGTATCATAAGAGAATTTTGATAATTTTTTAATCCATTATATTTATTTATATATCAATTGATGTTTAAAATCACAAGCCAATTACTATTTTGGTCTTAACAATCTCAATCAATTGATGGGCCAACCTTTTTTGTTCTTTTCGCTTACCATAAATTTGAAAGCTCAGCTGAAGACTATCACATTATTCACACATCAACTTTTATAATTTTTGTTATGGCAATTTCAATCAAATAATGGAATAAATTGATAGGCCAACAATTTTTCTTCCTCTAATTTTCAATAAAAAGGGAAAACTTTTCTTAACCCCCATGTGTTTCATATTATTATCAAAGCACCCATTGGTTTTTGAATTAAATTTTTGTTCAACTATTAAAATACATTTTTACCCTTTAAACTAAAACTAAGAATCTAAATATTATCCCAAATCTTTTAAATGTCATCAAATTTTCACAAAATTTATCAAATTTTATTTTTACCTAAAAAAAACTTTAAAAGTATTCCCTTTTACCCAATAATCTTAAAATCCAATTAAAATTATTAAATTCAACATCTCCCATTCTCCTTCCATCCAAACCCACCACAAAATCCACCATATACCATTGAAAAAGCCACATGCAAAACCACCATATATCATCATCACCATGTATCTTCACCAAAACAATTTCATGTAATATTTTCACTCATAAATGGAAGCTGCTTTAACAAGACAACTACGGTTTAACAATTTAAAGATAGAACAAAAATTTTAAAAAAGAAAAGAATGGAAGTTGTCGTGGTGGCCATGGCCATTACCGGAGTGTAAAATTTGGCCGCCGATGCGGTCACATGTATGAAAATGAAGGGAGAAAGATTAAAATAAAAATTTATGGTTCTTTTTAGAAGCTGAAAGGTCAAATTACCCTTTTTTCAAAGAGATATATCAATTATACTTGTCTCAATCCTGGTTTTGAAAATAGGACCCTATCATTTACCCTTTAACGAAATGAGTGCTGGGTCCTATTTTCAAAACAGGTGTATACAACCTGACCTGGACATCCTCGATCAACAAAAAAAAAAAAAAATATTCAACTGAAAACAATTTTGGTGAAAAATGTCAACAAATGAATTATTGCCTGTGAAAAAAAGATAAATATAAGTACTAACAATTTAGACCAAAATATCTAAAAGATCCAACAAAGTGCCCACTACCTAGGGCCATAATCATATACCCTATAATTTTCTTATAAAAGTTTCTAGAATTGAATAAGAATCTAATCCTCTCTTTCTTTAGAAAACCTTAATCGTTAGAAAAATGTTGTGGGTAAATAAGTCTATCAGTGAAGGCATATATATAGAAAGTGTTGTGGTAAATAAGTCATCATTGGAGGCAAATGGAAAGTGTTGTGGTTAAATAAGTCATCAATGGAGGTAGATAGAAAGTGCTGTGATTAAATAAGTCATCAGTGGAGGCAGATGGAAAGTGCTATAGTTAAGTAAGTCATCAGTGGAGACAGATGGAAAGTGCTATGGTTAAATTAGTCTTCAGTGTACACAGATGAAAAGTGCTATGTGATGATTAAAAGATTGAATTAGCGAATAATGAAGATTAAAGTGAAACTAAAGTCTTAATTATGTTCAAACAGTGTATTATTGAGATGATTAATATCTCGATACTTGGCATTGTACATATTTACTTATTAATAAAATTAGGATAAATATTTCATGAAAATAAATATTATGCTAAGACATGCATGAACCTTATTGATGGCATATATAATTAAAACCCTCACGTACAAAAGGTGTTTGTTGTAAATTATGTTTGATTTATCACTTTTATTATTATTATTATTATTATTATTATTATTATATTAGTCGTGCTCACACATTTACATTTTGTAGCCAAGTAAATGGACAACCTAAATTTAAAGAATGAGATATTTAAACCAATTCAATATTATTTTAGTAAAGCCTTGTAATGGACAAAAATTCGAGTTGATGCTTATAGATGCAAAAAATCTACCGTCATGAAAATAGGGTCTGATCCCGTGAGGTTGAGGTTATTGACAATCCGCTAGACCTGCACACATGAAAGGGCAAGCGTAAAGCTTCCGAAAAACACCGGGGTGGTGTTTGCCGTAGGCACTCCGATGCTCAAGTCAGCAAGGTTGAAATAGATTATTTGATAAGAATTAAAGAGATGAAGAATTATCAGGAGTCTTGTCGGAGGCTAGGACTATGGCAGAGGCATCGGGTTCTTGGAAACAAGAACTTAGGAGTAAATAGATGATTTTGAGTAGTGTAGATTGATATGGGAGATTGCCCCTTAATGAGAGGGCAAGCCTCTGTTTTTATAGTGAACCCAAGGGGCTGGAATCCTAGTAGGATATTGAGTCCTCTTTTTTTAGAGATAATGCCTATCAAAAAAGAAATATGATTTTTTGACATTATCAGATTAAGTTTAATAGTTTAAGTAAGATTTGGAATCTTAGTAGAACACTAAGTCCTATTTTGGGAGATAATCCTTATAAAAAAAGAAATATGATTTCTTGACCTTATCAGATTAAGTTTAATAGTTTAAGTAAGATTTGGAATCTTAGTAGGACACTAAGTCCTATTTTGGGAGATAATTTCTATCATGAAAGAAATATGATTTTTTGACCTTATCAGATCAAGTTTAATAGTTTGAATAAAATTTGGAATCTTAATAGAATTTATTTACGGACTGTTGCAGGCTAATAGTCTAAAACCCAGTTTAGCTTAACTTATAGGATAACCCAACTAGTAGAGTGGGTAGTTCACAAGGTGATTTTAAGCGTAGGCCTAATTGGAATTGGGTTAAGGCCTTAGGTCGTGACATGTTTATTTCGTTATTGGGCCTTGTCAAGCCCAAGACAATTTTTGGCCCTAACAATGCTAATTATATATATATATATATATATATATAATATTAGTTGTGCTCATACATTTACATTTTGTAGCCAAGTAAATGGACAACTTAAATTTAAAGAATGAGATATTTAAACCAATTCGATACTATTTTAGTATAGCCTTGTAATGGACAAAAATTTGAGCTGAGTGGTAATTATAAATTTTACAACAAAACTACGAACACCGAAAAACTTGCACCGAAATTGTGTACCGGCCTACGTGTACCAGCCGCGTGAATTTTTTTTCAATTTTTTTCTAGTGAACGGCCGTCCAAAAAATTTGGACGGCCTTTCACTCACATGGAACCCCGTCCATATTATATGGACGGGGGTCCATATACCAGGGACGGGTGTCCCCATTTAAAGGACGCCCGTCCCTGACCAAAATACAATAAAAAAATTTTATAAACATTAGGGACGGCCGTTCATCAGTTATGGATGGCCGTCCCTTCATTTTGGACGGGCGTCCGCAAATAAGGGATGCCCATCCTTAACCAAAATATGAAAATAATAAAAAAAATAAAAAAAAAAAACTTTAGGGACGGCCGTCCATAATTTTGGATGGCCATCCCTTACGTTTGGATGGGCGTCCATTCCTAATGGACGGCCGTCCATACTTTTAAAAAAAAAAATTCTAAAAAACTCTTCTTCTTCGTCTTCATTCCCCATCTCCTCTCTTTTTCTTCGTCTTCATTCCCCATCTCCTCTCTTCTTCTTGTCCAGTGTTATTCCTAGATTAATAATATCTACCACAAAACCATTAGAAATCGTCACTAAATCCCAAAACAGAACCCAAACACAGCGAGAAACAAAACCAAAACCATTTCCTAACCACACTTATTATATTTAACAGACAAGAAAAATGAAACCACACCCTCTGCAAACGCTTCAAAACTCTCAGATGATGTCAAAGAGCTTTCCACGAAGCAAATTGTGTTTCTCATTTGTTTGCTTTTGATATCTTTTAAACTTGAAGTTCCTGCTTCTATTAGTTCTGAAACTGAAGAACTCAGGCTGCCAATGTTAACCATTGAAACTAACTGGGAAAGTTCTTCTTTTGCAAGTTCTACTCCCACAGGAGAAGAATTATACCCTGCAAGCGTTTCTTGAGCTTTCTTTAAGACAGACTGTAAGTACTTCACTTGAGCTTTAATTCTCAGCTGCAAATGTCGTTGTACCTGAAAATATAAATTCTCATTTGATTGAAGTTTGAACTGTATTGATGATGCTTTATTGATAATCAGAAACGAATCTCTGATTGGTTTAATGGTTGTACGTACCTCAATCTGTTCATGAAGTTTGCTCTGCACTTCCAGTTGAACTTGGAGAGCTTGAGCGATCTGCAAGCCTCTGTAAACACAACACTTGAATCAGTTGAAGCTACTTGGATTATTACTATATATCGTTTTAAATTCATCGAATGGATTAGGATTTATTTCTGACTATTACTCATTAAATTGATTGGGTGTTCTGTCACTGGTATTCCTACTGAGATTCCCATCACTACTTTGAGTTTCTCTGCAATCTGCATTAAAAAACTAATTGCTTTGAGGAAGTGTAAGATTCTTGCATCAAGATGTGAGATTAAATTTTAAAGTTTTGAATTCTTATGGTTTTATATGCTTAGGGTTTAAGAGGAAAGGGAATTCTATCAAAGAGAGACTATAGTGTTGGAGTTGCTCAAATTCAAGGTAAGTAAATCCAACCCAAGTTACAATTTGAGAAATCAAGGGTGTAAAGATTTTACATATGTGTATATGTTTATGATTTTGAGAATTTTTGATGAAATTGATGAATTATTGAGGAGTTTGATGATTATTAATGAGTAGAATTTAGCTATGAGAAGTGATGATTCATTGAAGTTTGGTTGAAGTTAGAAAGAGTTGAGTAGAATTTTGGGAGTGTATTGTTTTTGGCAGGTTTAGTAGTTGTCTGGTAGAGTTTTACTCCAAATATTGGTGACTTGAGAGAGAGCTAGAATGGTAGCCAAATTCGGATTGAGTATGCATGCAATATGTTTGATGAAATGCCTAAGTGAAAACTGCCCTGTCACGTTTGTGACCTTCTGAGTAATATTTGGGTATCTTAGAGATTGAACTGGGTTTAGAACAAAACATAAACTTATATCCCTATCTCTAAGCTTTAAAATGAGATAAAAATGGTAGCAATCTGATATGTATAACTCAAGTTATGCCTTTTTAAGTGTGACCTGCGCAGAATGACTGTCTTTGATGCAACATTGCATTTGTGCTGTTCATGAGTGCATTAATGAGCATGAATCATCCATATGCATTAATTATGCATTAGAGAAAGAGTAGAAAAAGAGTAGAGAACTTTGAGTGTGAGCTTTATTAAGAGAAAAGAGAGAAAAAGAGAGTAGAAAAGGTTGTGCGATGGGGAACCCGTGAGTAATGGGTAGAGTATTCTCGCATGTACACCACATTGAGAGAGCAGCATGAGTATGAGAGAGAGAAGTGGTGTAGCCCGTGAGAGTGCATACGGATGAGGGCTATACCCGAGAGTACACGAGAGAGAGATTATATACTCACATGGCCAAGGGTTCCGAATCCATGCATAACTATAAAGACTGCTGTATACTAGTACAATGCATGCATAATAACAATAGAAAATTGGGCCCAAAACTTTCTTTTCATTATAAGTCATATGTCTTTTATACACAAGAACATTGTTTACAAAAGATCATTTTAAAAGACAAAAATAGGGGAAACAGTGTAGCTATTGCTCTTCGCTTGCTGACGCCCCTCTGACTGCATCATCACCTAGATCCTGCATCCACAAAGGAAAAAAAATGGGGTGAGCACAAAATAATGCTCAGTAAATAAAACCCTCTATCTGTCTGTCCCCGTATATAATACTCTCAATTCTTTCCTTACACTATTTCTGTTTCTACTAAACGTCATGGCCTCATCTTACCGGAGGTACGGCCGGATGGCGTTCACACAGCACCATCTCACTTTCCATGACTATCGGGTGGAATTCACACAGTACCAACCCGTTCTTAGTGACTACCGAGTGGGGATTACGAAGTACCTACCCGGTTTTCGTAACTATCGGGTGGAGACCACCTAGCACCTACCCGTTCCTCATCACTTTCGGGTAATGATCACCAAGCATTTACCCGACTCTAATCATCGTCGGGTGATGATCACAAATCATCAACTCACTTATCTAATAACTAACTGGGTGGTGGTCACAAAGCATCCACCCGTTTCTAATACTTATCGGGTGACGATCACAAAGCATCAACCCATCTCTAATGGCTATTCGGGTGGTGATCACAAAGCATCAACCCGATTCTCATAACTGTCGGGTGATGATCACAAAGCATCAACCCATTTCTACTACTCTTCTCATTCACTCTATTCTAGCATTTTTCATTCTCTCTACCCTTAGAGTAGTTGCATTCACCAAGTTCTCTACTCATAGAGTAATTGCATACACAAAGTTCCTACTCTTTCTTAGGTCACTTTTCAATGCATAAATAATGCATATGGATGGTTCTTCTCCATTATTGCACTTAGGAAATACCAACAAGCAATGTTACAAGAATTGAGGTGCACTACTCATACTCAACCTCTGTTAGGCATTTCATCAAACAATTCAAGTGCATAATAAAACTCTACTATAGCAATGATTCTAAATCTTTCTCTAACCATCCAAAATGGGGAGAAACCCCCTCACATCGCCACAAAACCTGCCAAAGAAAGACACTTCCAAAAAAAGGGTTCCAAAATACCCCTTCAATTCCATCTCAACTACCTCTCCAACCCACCAATCATTTCTTATATTTGAAAGGTATAAACAATCACAAAGCACTAGAAATCTCTATTTAGGCCTCAATAACATGGCATATAACATGTATATCACATACATACATCATTGCTAGCAAAACCCTAATCAAGAAAATTCTAAAATCTCAACTTGGGTTGGGATTTACTTACCTTGTTATGGAGAGACTTCACTAACTCTTCCTTTCACTTGGTTTGCTTGACTTTTTCTCTACTCTTAACCAAAAGAACAAAAACCCTCAATAATCACTATATACTAAAACTCACAAAGCTTCACAAAGAAAGTAAGAATCCTTACCTTAGGAAGCCTTAGGTTGATTTTCTACCCCAAATCACTTCAAAAGCCCTTTGAAACTCCTTGATCACAAGAAAGAGAAGTTGAGAGGAAGCAAGAGAGGAGAGTGGCGTTGGAGAAGAAGAATGAGGGGTTTGCAAAGTCTTAATTCCTTTTAATGAAATTTATACACAAGCATTCCCATTTTGCCCTTACTCTTCTTTGGGAATTCTATCTATATCCTTTGATTCATTACAAACACACCCCCAAATCAACATATTCTCCATGAAAAATCCTTACATTTAACTCCCCACTTTTCCTGCTAATTAGGGGTTGAATGGTCAAATTGCCCTTAGGGAAGAAAATATCTAAAACTTAGCAAACATTTTGGTCGGCCTGTCGCCGCGGCGAGGAAGCTTCTGTTGCCGCGGCGAAACTGTCCAGAGAGTTTCCCCTTGGTTTCAACACCTCTTCGCCGCGGCGAGGATTATTCTTCGCCCCGGCGAAGCTTGGCACACTGAACTTCTTCTATTTTCAACCAATTTCAGGGCAAGCATTCAACACAACACTCAATCAAACAATAATACCAAGAAACCAACTCAAATAAGAGCAAAAGAAGAAACAACAACTACGTACCTCAAGTGGGGTATTACAATAACCGAGTTCGATCAGCTAAGAACGAGTAGAAGTCACGGAGAGTTACAGCGAGTCCCGGTCGTGCCTCCGGTAAGATGGGGCCGTGACTTACTAAAGAGAGTTAGTAGAAAAAAAAAAAGAGTTCTAAGAAAGAGAAACAGAGAGAGAGAAACAAAAAGAGAAAACAGAGAAAAGTATAAAAGAGAGAGTAAATGAGAATTGTAAGGAAAGACTTAGAGAGAGAGAGAGTTACGGGGATAGATGACTAGAGGGTTTACTTACTGAGCATTATTTGTGCTCATCGCATTGTCTTTCTATGCTTTTGCAGGATTTAGGTGAGGACACGGTCGGATGGACGTCGGCACGCGAGGGGGAATGGCTACACTGTCTACATGATTTTTGATAGTTTTGGTTTATGATACTAATTTTGTATAAAGAATGTATATGTTTAATAAAAGAAAAATTTGGGCCCAACTATTTATGTTATTATATATGTATTTTTATTATGCATATTTTTATGAGTCCTTGAGTAGGAAGTAGTTATTACATGGCACAAGCTTCTTCGTGTCGCGTTTGTCTTCAGGCAGCCATAGGTTGGTCGTCTTGTTAACTGCCAGAGAAGAAACAGGTCGTCAGACAGAAAAATGCGTTCCGCACTTAATGAGTTCACAAGGGAAAAGAGCCTACTCGGGTCCTGAAAGCGGTAATGGCCATCATAACAAAAGAAGAAAAACTTCGTTTCATAGGCTCTCGCGTTGCTAGGGTAGTGTGTATCCCCTCGGCTATAGTAGGTTGCCTAGACAAGTAATAAGAATCCTTGTTCTTGCTCTTTTTCAAGAAATACGAGTAGCCAAGCTCTGCCGCGGTTACCTAACCTAGCTCATTCTCACGACATGCGATGTATATGGCAACAGCAATAACATACGATTCAGAGTGAGTTGCATCGACACTATCCCAAAATGATCCAAGATTGACCTGAAAAAAGGGTGGAAGGGGATCAATCCCCCACCCTTGATGATCTCCTCGGAGATCGCGACCATCCTACTTGATGGGTACCATGATGAGTGTGCCACATCGCGAAAAACTTCCACCTCGATACCATACTGTTTTATTACCCTCTCGAGCTCTTCCCCGGTAAGTACCAAGTAAACCTCGGGAGTGACACTCGAAGCACCCTGCGAGGACGAACCGATTCCTTCCTCGGATCTGGTTGTTAAGGGGTCCATTCTACTAGTCTACAAAAACGACAAGTAGGGGGTCATTTATCCATCGTATGCTACTCTGTACGATGATGTGGAAGGAAAAACTCCATAAAACCTAGAGAAAACCCTAACAGCATGATTCGAGCTGCCATTCATGGCTCGAACACAATATGAGCATCTTGTCTCCGATTAGCTACCGTAAGACTAACGCCATCTACCAACCACGGGAATAAGAAAACAAAAAACAGAGAAAGATTCTTACCTCTCGGAGTACGAAAATGGATTCTACTTCAAATATCAAAAAAATGCTGGTTTGGAAGGCAAAGACTCCAAGCTTGTGCAAATCTCTTACTCTCTGTGAAAAAGACAAGTGTGGTGACATTGCCTGAGATCTGAGTTTTTATAGCATGCGAGACGATGTTTGTTTTTCTTGGAATCAAAATGACGTT